CATTTGCCACATTTGGCACATTTCCACTTTGTGCATTCATATGGATTATATCTCGATGAACGAGACATCCTGTTTGCTATCGTGATAACACTATCAATATGAACACACTTATATACTATGTACAGGGTTGCCGGCATTTTTGAGAGTCATTTTTAAGGTTTTTTCACGTCTTTTAAGGCCCCTTTTGACCCATTTTTAAGGTCCAAAACAGTTAAATTCAAGGTTTTTTAAGGTCCACAGTGCGAAAGTTTCGACAAACGTAATGCAATAAAGGTGCAAATTTAAGGTTTTTCAAGGTTTTCCGATACAGAAATTGCAATCATATCTAAAGGGGGAAGGTATAATTTCAGAAAACCCCAATTAGATCTACAACAAGCTAGGTATAATTTCAGAAAAACCCAATTAGATCTCCAACAAGCTAAGTATAATTTCAGAAAAACCCAATTAGATCTACAACAAGCTAGGTATACTTTCAGAAAAACCCAATTAGATCTACAACAAGCTAGGTATAATTTCAGAAAAACCCAATTAGATCTACACCGAGCTAGGTATAATTTCAGAAAAACCTAATTAGATCTACAAGCTAGGTATAATTTCAGAAACCCAATTAGATCTACACCGAGCTAGGTATAATTTCAGAAAAACCCAATTAGATCTACAACAAGCTAGGTATAATTTCAGAAAACCCCAATTAGATCTACAACAAGCTAGGTATAATTTCAGAAAAACCCAATTAGATCTACAACAAGCTAGGTATAATTTCAGAAACCCAATTAGATCTACACCAAGCTAGGTATAATTTCAGAAAAACCCAATTAGATCTACAACAAGCTAGGTATAATTTCAGAAAAACCCAATTAGATCTACAACAAGCTAGGTATAATTTCAGAAAAACCCAATTAGATCTACATCAAGCTAGGTATAATTTCAGAAAATTTTACTAATCCGGAAAATCCATTTAGATCTACAACAAGCTAGGTATAATTTCAGAAAAACCCAATTAGATCTACACCGAGCTAGGTATAATTTCAGAAAAACCCAATTAGATCTACAACAAGCTAGGTATAATTTCAGAAAAACCCAATTAGATCTACATCGAGCTAGGTATAATTTCTGAACATCCAATCAGATCTACACCGAGCTAGTTATAATTTCAGAAAATCTTATCAGGTCTACACAGAGCTAGGTATAATTTCAGAATATCCAATCAGATCTACACCGAGCTAGGTATAAATTCAGAAAATCCAATCAGATCTACATCAAGCTAGGTATAATTTCAAAAATTTTTACTAATCCGGAAAATCCATTTAGATCTAACATCAAGCTAGGTATAATTTAGGTATGGAACCTTAAAAAACCTTAAAAACCCGAAAATTTGCCCGTTTTTCACGTCTTTTTTAAGGTTTTTTGCCCAAAATTGCCGTTTTTAAGGTTTTTAAGGTTTTTAAAGGTTTTTAAGGTCCCCCGGCAACCCTGACTATGTAAACTATCTATTAAGTTAAGACATGAGAACAACACGTAGGTAAGACTCAGTGGGAAATATTTCACATTTAATACAACAAATGAAATGGCTAGAATTTTGTTTAAAAAACCCAAAAAAACCCAATCCCAGTATTACCTTTTCTTGGGTAGGAGTTGGGTTTTTTTGGGTTACACCCCCCCCCCTAATTGCTAATTTGCTCAAATTATAGGTTCATTGGAATTAGCGGAGTTATACAATAAGATTAAGGTATCATGATTCTTAGAAATGAAGTAAAAAGTAAGTGAAGCTAAATTCAAACTTCAAAAGAATGTATCCCACAAACAAAGTACTAGTTATTAAGTTACCGTACTTATATAAACCCTATTTAAATCTAGTGACATGCGCTAAAACGCTACAAAGGGTAGAGAACATAAATTCTGCTAGAATGAAGGGATCGAGGCAAGTATCGATTTGAAAAGCAAGTTTACTTTGAGACGCATTTTATTAAAAACACCAATTAAAGGTCTAGTATATGAGGTGATTAAGTCAAATAACGCAACGTGTTATAAGAACAAAGAAACTATTACGCTGTCAACGTCAAACGATTACTGGCCAAGCTTAAATGGGTAATGAGCCATGACATGTATGAATTTGAGCTGAAAAATATAAGAACAAAACTTCCTCAACCGTTGAAAATACTTCGTTGTTGTTGAAAATTGACAATGAGTCATGCAATAACATGACTCATGTATTAGATGGGAGCATCTCAGTGTAAGTTGCTGTAGTATTATTAACTCTATTAGGGAGTACTGACATGAGTTAGCAGCTATTCGGTGAACAGGAAAACTAAAGGCCACCAAGCAGAAACGCAACGACCCAAGTAGCGATCTTAAAAGCAAGCTTACTTTGAGACGCTTTCTATCAAACGACAAAGAAAGGTCTAGGGCAGCCATTGTCAGATGATTAAGTCAAATAACACAATGCATTCAAAAAAGATGGGGAATAAAGAAAACATTGTGCCATAAACACAAAGCAATTATATTGGCCGAGCTTAAAAGATAATGAGCCATGACAATTGACACGTAGATATAAACTGACTAACGTTTAAGAAAACTTCCTTCAATCATTGCAAATCGTGCCAACTTTTTTTAGCCGTTCGTTGGCGGGAAAATTGGCCGTGTCAGGCAATAAGATAAGAGCATAATTATTCTAATAAATAAAATGAAAGTGAACCAGGATACAAACATCAAAGGAATTGCTCTTACTGAGTAACATAACATTCCATCGCATGACGCATAAATCCAGCTTGAAAGCATAATGGTTTCATTTTGAATGGATCAGCTACGAGCCTCAACTTTCTTTCATAATACGGAATACTGAAAGTTTATTCGGGGGTGATTATCAACATACGCTAATCGTTATAATGTTACAATAATATTACTGTAATAACAATATAGCACAATATAACTGCAGAGTCACGGTGAATATCCCGGTATTATATGGGCTCTGATACCCCCAACTTCACGGTAACAACACTAACTACTACAACACAAGCTCACCAGAGCTTGAAGATAAAAAGTATGTAGAAGACAATATCGTTTAACAAACACACAGGTATCTGTATCACATGAGATAATAATAGGTGCGCTATCATTATATTATATATATATAAGTTACATTACACGGGAACTATAAAACAGGGGAGTATGTGAAGCGTTACAAAGCTCTCCAACCTATAGACACTAATCAACACATTTATCAATTCTAAACCGTTCTAGAATAATATCGTTAACATAATGTTAAACGCACGATCCTGTGTCTGGTAAGGTTTGATGAGGAGGGCAACTGAAAACCTGCCCAAACCTGCAAAGAGAAATAATATCAACGACATCCAGTGTGGTCACGAGTATACCTTACCTGCTATCTTAGTTAGTCTTTGTTACCGACAAAATCATCAGTAACGAATGGAAATATGCGGAGTAAAATAGTAAACAATGCAACTCAGTACCGTTAGTTCTGGTACATTCCTCTACCAAGGGTGTTTAGTTCGTTGACTATCCAGGTGTTTTGGCAGAGCTCTGGTTGCGGACTAATGGGACTAATGGGCCCCTAAAACTCACAATATTAAATCCGCGTTTAAACTTGTGGAGGGTACCTCCCGGACCATGAGCAGTAAACTGGGCTGATGCTTCCCCAAAGACGAATGGTAATAAGCTCCTAGTCTCTATGGTAAATACTGTTTTAAATACAGCACAAAGTTGCAAGTTCTGATAATATAGCCTTCACAAAGTTGCAACTGCTAATGTAGATGCCCACAAAGTTACAACTGGTGTCAGTATCACTGTAGTATTGACTATTGTTAACCCTACCAACAATGGAGCGACATGATATGAACTAGTGCGGCAGTGTGTAATAATAAAGAGGAGGAGAGAGGAGGAGGAGGAAGAGGAGGCGGAGGAGAAGGAGGAGATGGTGTACCGATAACAGCGACATAACACGCTCAGTTAATCCAGAGAGATTATTGAAATTTTCTACGTTAAGTACAGGATATACTTTTGTCGGGCCCCGCCAAAGCACACTAAACAACACCCTCCTGCACAACTTTGCACTAAATACACACTTACGAAGTGTGTATTTAAAGCTAAAACGTTTAGATCCATGTTGACTGTAGTACAGTAGAGTCTACGCAATGCTACAGTACAGACTTGTCAAACGCAGATCGTGTCTGCTCCTTTATAATAACACATACAATGATAGCCGGGGTGGTGTCATACCACCCTCTCGTACCGGACACACGAATACAATAGCACACCAGGTACCACCACACTTCCTATCACCCCACGTGCACTTAATTTCACACGTGCACTTAATTTCACCACGTGCACTTAATTTCACAGTAATCTGCCCCGGGATAATAACATTGTATTATTAGAGCTGTTGGAGAACAAGTGAGTTGCTCCTGAATTGCTGTATTCCTGGTGGGAAAGAGCGATAATTTCAAGCAAGCAAGGTAACAAGTCAAGTTATTGTAATATACAAAAGGAGATCAGAGAGAGAGAGAAAGAGAGAGAGAGAGAGAGGTAATCAGCTCTAATTTAAATGGCTCATCTTCTTGACGACCACGGCTAATTACTCGACTAGATTTAGTTGTTAAATTTAGGATCTGTGGAAAGTTTTATTAAAAGAGGGGTGTTTTATCTTCAGGTAGGAGGTATAAAAGCGTAGCGAGTTAATAGTTATTGAGTGTGTTCTATGTGTATGGTATGTAGTACAGTGTACATTCCAAGAAGTACACATCACAAAGGGTCACTAGGAAGAGGGACAAATCAAGAGTGTAGGAAAAAGTTAACAGAAAGTATTGTGCTTGCAAGTTAGCCACGTCGTATTACGAACAAGTAGTGCCAGTGGCAGCAAATCAGATGAATTGCACAAAATTCGACAATCTCAAATCTATGTAATCGCTGGGGATAGCCACAGTCAATTCAATCACGCACAATTAATGACTGGTATAGGCAAGAAAGAATAAAACGACAAGAGATTGTATTAAAAGTTCAATAAGTTAGTATGGACATTTACTATTACAAAAACATAAATTCCCACCATTGTCAATAAAAATTGAATCATAATCGATTCCAGCCGATTACCGTTATTCAATTCTCGGGACTTCACAGAGCATTGAATATAAACCTATAATAAATTAAGGGGACAATATAATCGTCAAAATCTTGCTGGATCTGAAGGCTATATGATCCGATTTAGTCAACCGATACCAAAGAAATCATGAAGTGTTTGCATAAATTTTGAAATAGAACGGGGAATCTCAGGTAAAATATTAACACTTTCCACCGGTATCGTATTACGGGGAACAAACATACTTATAGAGTCTGTCAGATACTTAATTTTAATTGTTCTGCAATCGACTGATTCACCATCCACAAAGAACTTTCCTTCAGATAGAGGGACGACGCTAATTTCCTGAGAATCAGTTTCACGTGGAACTTCGCCTAGTGTTAATTTAGTCAGGAGACCAGACTGTCTATTGTCGATTATATTTCTCCCGATCAGCTCAAAGAATTCCATCCTCTCCCGGACGGCGGGGTGGGAGTGTGACACTAGTCCTGACTTTTCTCCCGGCATTATTGTCAGGTTTGCCAGTTCTTCGACCCTGCTGTCTACCTTGGCTTTGATGTTGCACGGCCACGAGGTGCTGGTGGAGAACCTCAACATTGCACCCGCTGTCTGGAGTCGGCCCAGCCACCACAGCTTTGGGATAAAATCTATGGCACCCTTAATAGAACCCCACGTGAAGTAAGATAGAGCGAAGATAGTGTTCCCTTTGGCGGGACTAATTTCCATGATGGGTACCTTCTGAACATTACCCTCCACAATATTGATAATAGACTGACAGATGGCATCTACGTTGGTCAAAGAGTCCGCTTGGTGCAAGTACCTGGAGCAAAAAGTGTTGTGCGTTCCCAGAGGTATGAATCCCACGGGGAGTTGGCTGTGTTTGTTGTTCCGTAAGACTGCGGTTACGGTGTCCTGTAACATCCCGTCACCCCCCGCCACCACCACAGCCTCCACGTTAACAGGCAGGTACTTAAGCAGAGAGCTAACATGCCCCTCGTAGGATGTGGGCACGATCACAAAGTTTATACCACTGCAGCTCAACATGGGCACAGCAAACTTCTTGAACGTTTTAGAAGCCTTACCACCACCTGAAGAAGGGTTGAGGAAGACGACTACGTCTTTGATCTTGTGATCTGTAGACACCTTCTCTGCACTGTGGTTTTGCACTTTCAGACAATACTCTTTAAGTAGAAGATTCTCCTTATACCTGTTGTAGCCGTACAGTCCTCCCCCGGCAGCTACTAAACTGAAAAATATTGACTTCTTCCAGTGGTTCCGCACAGTCCTAATGAGCTTCATGCTAGGTAGAAGGAAGATATGTTAGGAGAAGTGCCTACATCATATCTAGCAACTGATAACGAAATAGACATAAAATTAATAAGTAATAACATCGCTCAGGCGACAGGCTAGGTCTCGTAAGGCAAATGATTAGATGAGCAAACCATGACAGTTCAAATTAACAAATTCAATTATGATGTGTGCGGGCAATGCTAATGGGCATCGTGTATTCATTGTGCAACGTTACGCCACACCCTAATAGGCAATGCGTTTAAATAGAAGAAATGAAATACAAAAAAACGAATTTAAATCTGACTTCATTAAAATGACTAAAAATAGAAATGAATAAAAACTCTAAAAGCACATGAGGTGGCAGATATAATTCCGATCACATCTCCAGACCAAATATAAGTTAGCCCGTTTTGCAGATGCTATTTCAGAACATGAACTATCAGCACCGCAATCTTATCCGTCTCTCTCTATAAATAGCGACAAATTCACTAAACGGGCAGGAGGGAACCAGACGTGGTAAACTCTTGATACCCTTTACCACACACCAGGACAGCAATATCTCCCCGACTAGTTGAATATGAGAGGACCAGATCATGGGGATCTGGCACGTCCACATAGCAACAGTACACTGCAGTTAAATCTAGGTCTAGGATGAAGAGTCTTTGGTCGCTTCCGACAGTAATAACTCTATCAGTGTTTAAAAACCTAACAGCAATGCCGGCAGAAAAATGAGTGGTACGTCTGGCTACGGGGTTAATGGAGTCCAGACGGGTTACTGATAAGGTGGACCTTATTACATCACCATCATCACCTATCGTTAAAACTTGTGCAGAGGGCCCTAATCTTAGGTCCAGTCCGTTGATACCAGAGGAATGCAGGTGATAACTAAATCTACTATCTATAGCGCTCCCACATATGTTCAGTCCGTGTACCATGCCGAATGTTGTCGCTGACAACAACAAAAGTGTCCCGGTTTCCGAGGAAGTTTCTGTCAATTTAACCCGGGTAATACAATTGGTCTGATAATCTGACAGGAGTCTGACAAACTTGTTAGAGAGAGTGTAACCGAGGAGGTACACTTCACCGTTAGATAGTCCACACGCCACAAAACACGAAAACTGAGGATCACGTGATTCACAACAGTCCAGAGAGAGGACTCTCTGGTCGTTATCTGAGTTTCTCTGGTCGAACCTGTAGCTGGAGTTGTAGCCCACTGGGATGTGAGTTTTAGAGACGACCGTGTAGTCAGATACCAGCTCAAGATCAGTTCTACCCTCAGGAATGTGCCAGGCTTTCAGTGAGCCCCGTCCACCAGCACTGAACAGGATACCGCTGTTTGTAACACAAATTGCCTGAACACTAGAGATGTGGCCGGAGACCTGGACTGCAGTCTCCGTAGAGTGTGCTATCAGGGTGCAGTCCTCTCCTGCAGTCACTATCAGATCCTTGTAATACACCGCTGAGTGGATCTCGGAACCGTGACTCTTAGTACCGTATCGTTTAAACTGGTTCGAAGTTATTTGTTGTTTTACTGTCTTCAATTTTGAGTTGTTGATGTAAGCAAAGTGAGCAGAACTCTCCTCGATAATAACGTCCCAACTTCGATGTCCTCCTCCACATTCAACAGAACATATTGTTACACCGGACTCTAAAACTTTCACTTCAAAATGCTGCCCATGGAAGTAGTACATCATTGTTAAACTGTCTCTTTGCTCCAACTTTTCTATCCAACAAACACTTGAAATAGGCTTATATTTCTTAACAATAACCAAACGTCCCTCTTTGATTTTGAAATACCGAACATTTCCATCTCTACCAACACTAACAACTAACTTATTTTGGGAGGTTATCTGGCTGATACCATTGTCACCGTGTAGACCTGCAAAGCTGCATAAAGGATCTTTAGCGTCGTGGGATTTTGAAATATTCTCAGCAAAACAATACAAATGTATCCCTCCCTTCCGGTCACCAAGTACCAGGTACTTTCCAGACTCTTCAAAACAAGCTGATGTGAGCCATCTGTTTTTACATTTAGGAAGAGTGAAATTATTGAATGGCTCAGCAGACAAGTTCTCGTTTATCTTCCAGAGAGTAAGATATCCAGCTCCTTGACAGGATATAAACAAATTCGTATCTTCACAAGAAACTGCAGTTAAAGAGAAGATCTTGCTCTCCTCATCACAATTCACAGATCTGCAATTCAAACTCTTACAATCTAACAAACTGATACTTCCTCTTATTCCTCCTATTACCAGCACATCTCCTACCTTACAATGTTTAGAATACCCTTTAAATCTTGAGTCCTCCTCTGACATCACAACCTCAAAACTATCAAGAGAACCGTCATACAGTCTCAGCTCACCACTTGCAACTTGTACTATAAGTTTACCATCCCCAGTCCAGGATACCCACTTGGGGGGATCCTCAGCTAGACAAGAGATAAACTCCTCCTCTTTACAGACAGATTCTCTACTGGACAACGTGTAAGAGACAACAGTGGAATCCCAGCCTCCAGTAACTATAGTGCTGTTGTTGCAATGGACGCTTCTGATGCCCTGACCGGTGTGCGGGGTGAGGCAGTGCACCTTCTCCCCAGTACCCCCTGACCACACAATACACTGATTATCTTCACCTACTGACACTACTCCGTCACACCACGGCATCAGAACAACCTTCAAAACTCTAGCTGTATGTCCGTATAACCTGTGTTCTATCTCTCCTGAGGAACGATTCCAAATGATAAGTGTTCTATCGTCGGATACAGTATACAGTCTGCTCTCTGAAAGCTTGATGTCGAAAATAACGCCACCGTGACCTTCGTATGCCATGACTACTTTAGATTCAAGCAGAGGTTTCCACAACAATGGCTTGTTAAATACTGTACCGGAACAACAAACTAACACACCCTCTTCAACTACTAAACAACCTCCATAAATAATGCAACAGCTATCACATTGTACGGTCTTCGTACTTGTTAAAGAAGTGTCTAGTATAGCTACGCTATTGTAGGAGAATAGAACAGCTATGATTGTCTCACTCATCCAGGCAGCTGAAATAATCCAGTCTTTCAAGCGGCGTTCAGGACAAGATATGCTCATTTGATTCTCACATGACAGATCAACAATACAAATGCTACGACCCCCACACACTAGAAGAGAAGAATTACTCACGTTAATAGAATGTACAGCCTGGTGCTTGAACACTTTCAGTCGCTGTTTTGTGTCAAGGTTTTCCAGGAAAGAAGAGTATGCAGCTATTACGGATCCGTTTTCTAGGATAGTCACCGCTGTGACAGCTACTGAAGTTCTGCCAACTTCTAGAACAGCATGTTGTGTGGCTGTTTCACACTGTACCATCATACCTTAACTGTGGTAGTATTTTGTTAGTCATTTTAAAGCGGAAGTAACATTTAGAAACCGGAAATCTATAACGGTAATTTTACGGAGAGGAGATTTAAGCATGCAAAATCATGATGTTCGTGCAGTCACGTGATTGTAATCAGATAATTTGGTAAATTTGGCGCATAACAAAGACACAAATACAAAGGTCAGCATTCAGTATAAAATATAATTAGAATACATGTACATGTAGTTATACTTATTATATACACAAAATTAAATCACCAAATATATAAATCTTATTCAAAATCTAACATTCATGTAACAAATAACCAGCAACAGCACACAAAGTAAAGCCCCAATCTAATTCATAGAAAAGCGGTAAAAATCCCGGTGAATCTCCACTCAAGGTGTGTAAAGTAATGTACAAGATATGATTTATGTACACACTGCACTAACAATATATGGGAGCCAGTGTTAAGGGGGCAGGGGGGGTCTTTATGAAATTTCTCTCGAAATTGATTTTATGGTTGTTTCTGATAGAGAGGAGTGATATCTACCAGATATTTTTGGTCCCATGGTAAAATTTTGTTCTAGTCGAATTATTGCCGGTCAAAGGTCAGCGCTCATGTGTAATTGTATTGCGCGAGCGATTTTCAATCGCGTGCCCTGAAAATCTAGTCTAAAAATCTATCTTCTCCTACATTTTTTGAACAATCACCTTGAAACTTTCAGGATATGTTCTAAGGACCAATTAGAAACTTTTGCTCGTTTTAGAATTTCGAGATAGGCCTTTAAAAAAATTTTTATTCGATTTGAAAATCTTGGACTGAAAAAATCGTCAAAAACGAGGTCCAAGATTTCAAAATCGAATAAAAAAATTTTAAAGGCCTATCTTGAAATTCTAAAACGAGCAAAAGTTTCTAAATGGTCCTCAGAACATATCCTAAAAGTTTCAAGTTGATTGCTCAAAAATGTAAGAGGAGATAGATTTTTAGACTCGATTTTCAGGGCGCGCGATTGAAAATCGCTCGCGCAATACAATTACACATGAGCGCTGACCTTTGACCGGCAATAATTTCGGCTAGGAACAACAATTTTTCCATGGGACCAAAAGTAGCAGATAGATATCACTCTCTCTATTAGAAACAACTATAAATCAATTTCGAGAGAAATTTCATAAAGACCCCCCCCCTGCCCCCTTAAGAGCTTGCAATTGCGAGTATTATGTCTGAAGACCATGATTCACATTTAGTCTACACTTAAACGAACCCAGCAAGCTTTCAAGTGTAAACATTATTAATGCAAGTGTAAGATCAGAGTTTTAAAAACTTTAAAACGTCACTTCACGATGAAGTTTATCATGTTGGAACGATTAACAGTTAAAAGGTCAGAACTCTTTGAAATAAAGATCTATATAATGCAAGATATCATGTCAAAGGGAAGAATGGTCACAAAACAGTCATCATCAAAATGTGATCAAATCATAATATAAATGCCGCTCATAGAATAGAATGAGAGTTTAAATATTCAACACATGCCCCGACATTAATTTTGTAAGCAAAGTTTTAATTCATAACTAGAACATATTTTGCTGCTTGTGTAATTGCACGTTAGCATTTGCATGCAGGAAAATAATTGCCGATTTTGTGCATCACATTTACGATGATAGCAAAATCAATAACGGCTGAGAATAGACACTGCAGGAAAAGATTCGAGATCAAAATTTGGAATTAGACGTGTAATTATAATTTGTTGAGATTCCAAATTTTACCTCTTCACAGTGATCTTATTGTTGATGATCACAGTGCTTGATTATCTTCTGTAACCGTTTCTGCCTGTAACCGGCAGGAATACCTCAGTGTACATTTCTTACTATAATTATAATTAATGCTTCGTCAAGATTCAATCACGAATCTTGAAACACTACTGTATCTACCAAGACAAAATCTGTCGTTGTTGTTTAATCACTAACAAAAATAATGTCATACTACAGGAACAATGATTAAATAGATCCAAGGACAACAGTTACACTGGGCATAACATTTACATCTTCAGGATCCTTCTGCTCCTCAGGTCGAATAGAAGGAGTCATAGCCTTGTACTTGTACTTTGAGCTGAAAACCCATGATGACAGAACCAGATGTTCCAAGTGGTTTTACAGAGATGACAAATGTGAGTTTATTCATTCTCCTGGCAACAACTATGTCAGGGTCATCGTCAAAGTCTTGAATTGAAGCATCTGTGTCATACTGCGCAGTGTCATCCCTAGCAGCCAGCATTAGCTCTTTATCTGGTAACTTAATTTCTGTAGTAAGTTTGGAATAAGATGGGTGACCTTCAGGCAAGGGCAAAAGTTCCACAGGTAGATTGTACTCAGTTGGGTTAGTAAGAGAGAAGTGAACTTTTGTAAACTCCCCAGGTTTTAAAGATACCATCTTCACAATTCTAAACCTAGGCACAAATCGTAGAGCAATCTGATGAATTTTGAATTTAATAGAGGACGGGTTAAACTCAGGCTTACTAAGATTATGTTCACATTCTCTGCATCTCTGTGACCTTTTGACCATAAGATGTGTGCAGTTTGGCTTCAGATCGCAGGCATAATACACTTCGTTAGATGGCTGATTAATTCGACTGGCAACGGAGGCATAGTGGTAAGGCTCCCCTGGGGCAGTGTAGTACTTTTCATCAGCAGGTTCTGTTTCTTCTTCTGCTTCAAGGGGAGTGAAATTATTGACAATATTTTCATCAAACTGACCTGTTCCAGTTAGATTCATGCTAAATGAACTTCGAGCTAATTTAGAGAAGGGTAATAGCTTGTCACTGATTCCAAGAGATCCAAGGAAGCTACCTCTTCTTTGACGCTTTCGTTTTTCCATCTCAACCTTTTCTTTCTGTATCAAATGTCTGTAGTAATTGACAATGCCTGACATCCAATTATCCTCCACTTGTGGTTCAATCCATGGACCATTGGAAGCAGCTTTGTCAGGTTGGTTTACATCTCGAGTTGTCCAGAAACAAAATGAACATTGGAGATAATATACCTTTTTAAATTGGCCAAATCCCTTTACTTTTCCAGCTTCACGTCGCACCATGGGTACTTGTGCAGAGCGAACTTGGAGGATATTGGTACAGTTGGGGCATTCAAGGCAGCTTTGGCATTTGTTCTTCATAGACTTAGCTTCAGCTGAAGGAATGTTCTCAAGGCAATGAGGACAATAGTAAGAATCTACTTCATGTGAAACACATTTGGGACATCGTAGTGTGACACAATACTTGCAGAAGAAAAGGTGTATTAGTGGCATGGATTTACCACAGGCACATGCGTAGTTTACTTCACACTCAGCCATACCTAAAATATATTTCCAATTACAGAATATTTAAAGAACAGATATTAATCATACTGCAACACAGTATATAGAAGATAATAGTGCACAAATTAGCAATTGCAAAAAGGATTAAAAAAGAAAAGGGGGGGGGGGGGGGGGGGGGGGGCAACATTCGACTTTACGACACTGGTATCTTAATACTGTCCTTCTAAAATCATTAATAATGGTAGATATTAATAATAACTACATTCTACAATCACGTTAGAGAAACAATCAAACATCATTACCACTTTTAGAAACATTCTCCTTAATTCCTAAAACTTATCTGTCAGACTTACCTGTGCTCAAAATAAATTCAATCAGATGTGGCGCTGTGATATTGGTTAAACATAAACGGGTTAGCTAGAGTTTGGCTTATCATATCATTATTATCTAAAATGTATCGATACATCGGGTCTGGTATGATCAGGTTTTATTGGGTTTGCATTGCATGGTGGTAGAGGAATCATCAGTGTAGTCTGGCTGGTCAGTGGAAACATGATTATCCCTGTGCAGATGGACTTAAAATAGCAAGCACTGTAACACCTCTACTTCCACAAACCTCACTCCAGTCTCTTGATACCTGTAAAGACAAGTTCTAATTTCCATTTGACCACTGAAATTCCAGTACCTTCATTTTAAAGCTAGCTTCTCTTGACTTGTAGAAGATAGTAAGTAGTCCTAAGTAGTGGCTCATAATTGGCTGCAGTCACCTTTTCAGTGCCATTTATAGATGAGTCATTTAAGAATTTAAGAATTTAAAAATTTAAGAATTTTCGGACGTTATCTGTATTTAAGTGACAACTATATAATTTGAATATTTTATTATTTGATTGTTTCACACTTTTGATATTTCATAATTTTATTACTAGGTGGAGGTGATGTTATTGAGACTTTGGGCGGCCACAAAACTCCTGTTTTGAAAGTTGTCCTCTGTACTTGTTTCACTGACCCACGCTTTATAGCATTTATACATTTCTGCCCATTTTATATGTTTGTTCGATTTGCTGTACATTTGTATATTTGCTATTTTGTAAAAGTTTCAAATCACAATCAAATCAATAACAAAAAAGTTTAATAACCTGAACTATGTCGTTTGGGTATAATTTAACTTATTAAGATATTTTTATGAATATTTGCGATCTTATGCATCATTATTTTTTGATTTGATTTCATTTGATATGCTCCAGCTAGAAGGTTCGACACCCAACAATATATGTTATAAATACAACAAGCCCTTTGTAATATATTAACCGGTCCATTAAAAATTTGCAATTCGGAAAATACATTATATTATATTTTTTTAATTTTTTAAATAAAATTATTCAAACAATATACACATAATATAGCAATGACCCTATATAAAATCAACCCTTTAAGAATTCAAAAAATTCCCTTAACAATCAAAAATTACCCTTGGCCTTGTGGCTCCAAGACTGTTTATATCAACAATGTTTTTTATCGCACTATATTATATTGCAGTAAATTTCAAACGAATGTCATTGCAACAAGCCGTTTAGGTTCTCATCCATGATCCAACCAATGCTACAATCTCATCCAACCAATGCTACATCTTAAGTTGTAGAACCACAAAAACTCGCCTCTTTACTGTGTAAACACTTCCAGACCTTTTAAGAGCTAGGATTGTTGATCATGATAAGGTTCAAATTACTTTTGACTAATAAATTTAGGAACCTCTGTTACCCCTTATAGAAATTAAAAACCTTTTATAGTCTGCATCTGATATGGGACATCACATCACATAACAGTACCTTTGGCCTTTCTATAGGCTGACCTTTCAGCGAAGATATTCATGCTTCTCAGTAATATTCTCACAAAGGAGGACCCTCCAGCTGAGAAATCTTACAATAAGTAAGCTTAGGTGGCTATCATCGGAGTTGCATTACCTTCGCTAAACGTCAAAGTTCAAATACTGTATTTTTGGTTTCTAATCTTCATCATCTGTATCCGCAATTGTACTGCCGTATTATTTTTATCACTATTGTATTATTTTTATCACGTCACCCCCATTTCACGCTGTAGAGTTTCTACGATACAGGGGAAGCCGTGCACTCGTGCGCGGCGGGTCATACAACGTATGACAATGTATGATAAGGTATTATAACATATAAACGTTGTAAACACATTTAAAAATTAAAGTTCTAACATCAGTTTTCAAATTTTGAGCAGTCATTCGAGTTTCGACCAAGACAGGGGCTGGAGTACGTTTGTTTATAGATTAATGAAATGTTGCATTGTAAATATTCAGAATTGACGATATATTATGATCTAATAGTAAATTTTACAAAGCTGGCTTTGGATTTAGGTAAGATTATAATTTATTTTAAAACCACGGATAATTTTAAATTTATTTCTATTTGTCGTAAAATCATAAACAAGTTAATCCTGTTTTCATGAATGCGCGGCTTTGGCGGCCAGTTATTGATTTATACATTAAGTTGAATTTTATTTACAAATGTGAATATATTAAAATTTAAAACTTTCAAAACGGAGGCTTATAAATATTATTATATTATGTTATAAAATTTCACATAGCCATGTGCCTACGCGTACTGCGTGACGCGCTACTGCCTACGGCGGTCGCGCGCTACTGCAAGCGAGAGGGCTCTGGTTAGAGCAATTATAAAATAAAGGATAAAATTTTAAATTTGTTTTACTAAAAAAATTTGTTTCACTTAAAAATAGTTTTATACGGAATAAATCTATGATCAATGCGCCGCGCAGATGGAGCCTTATATTGAAACAATATATTGATTACCGCATAGCACATAGATAATTGATTCACGATGTCAATCCTTCGCATCTCACCGATCTGCATACGTGTGGTTGCGAGAAAATGCGCGGCGCGACCCAGTAGTGCATCGTGCCACAACATAGATAAATGTTTTGCTAGCTTCATACTGAAGTTGTTGCGCTTCCGACTTCTGTCGTGGTCTGTGTGTCATCATTAGCTTCTTGTCTGCGGTCTCATTCTAAATTTGTAGAATGTAGAACAAACTGTATAGTGTAGTAAAAGTTAAATAATGTTTTGACAGTGTTCAGTAGGTGAATTCTACGTGAGCGCAACAAGTGGCGTACGTGATTTTACCATCGTGCGCGTACTATTTCAGTACTTTATTTGATGCGCGTTACAGTAACGTTTCTATGTAGACCTATACATTTAGTGGTCTGATAAGTAATCGCCATGTCCAAACGATTTGCAATTTGGAGCTATGAAGTATGATATTGTCCACGTCGTTCTGTATAAAAACATACTGTCGGCTTTATCGAAATCAGCTTTGCTGGCACCTTTGCTGTCTTAAATGATTTGGGGGCATTCAAGTACTATGTATAACGTAGTTACAAGAGGGGTTTCGAAATTGCCCAATTTGCTGTTACTTCTATACTTTCACATACAGTATACTTATATGAATAACAAAGCCCAAAGATGTATAGCAACTAATTCTTGGAACTCAATTGATGTGAAAGCCACAAAGCTATGGAATCTTTTGCCAAGAGATGTGAACCAATTACCTTCACTTCCTAAAATAGGGAAAGAAGAAGGAGTAGCAAGTATAAAATCGCTGTCTGGATCACGGACGAACCAACTCTTAAATGTATAAGTAGAAGTACCGATGTCTAGAAATGGTAAAAAATGCTAACGTTATATGCGAACCCCTCACCCTCTTCCAATACAATATGTACAGCATATATTGTACATATATTGTACATAATATATATTATATTGTAACCGAGGTATAAAAATTAAATTAGCGAATAAAACAATACTCTATCGCCAACGAAATCAGAAAGTAACATCACTCATAAAGCTTAAACCATCAGCTAAATAAATATAAAAAGTAATTAACAAATTTAGCAATTTACAGAACAAAAATTATTTATTTTTAAAATTTAATAATCTAAACAAATCACTGAAAGATTGGGAAACAATTGGAATATCAAACCGAATTAAAAAGCAAGAAATCATAATAACACCAAATTTATATGAGTCATCAATTACATAATACCCGAAAATAACATAAATTCTTTAAAAACACGTATTTTTTTAATAAATCGAAATTAGTAAATAGGTTTTAATCTTATAAACATGAGTAAATATCACAGTAAGGTTTTTAATTTCCACAGTCCAAACAACTTTTTTTAAATGCAATCTGATTGAAATTTGATTCTACTTGATGCGGTCTATCCCTTGAAAACAGTGACAACCTCAAGTATCAGCCCAAAAAGACAGTGACAACCTCAAGTATCAGCCTAAAAAGACAGTGACAAACTCCAGTATCAGCCCTTGAAAACAGTGACAACCTCCAGTATCAACCCAAGAAGACCACCAAACACATTTCCCCAGACTATCACCCAACCAAGTTCATTTTCAACCATGTCTTTTACTACCTGGGGGGAGGCTGTGTTCAGTGTTTTTATCTGTTTACACTTTACTGTTAAGAATGTAAAAATATTGCCGGTTCCCATCAAAATAAGCATTATACCTAAACCAGTGTATACTTTACACACATACCGTCACCTTGTGACCCTAAAAGTCTCCAAAACTATGCAGATTATGCAAGCCATCACAAGCGAACTGTATAGTAATTATGCATGTTAAGTAAGAAAGGGACACGTACCGCTATTATGTTTTTAGGATGCATTTCAACCAACTTGCTCGTTATCAGCCTGTCAACCTGGTCCCTCACTTTCTCCTCTGATAAGTGCTGAAAAGAAGAAAGTTTAGTATTTTCAGACACTCGGAATTGAGGTTGTATCTAGAGATGGTGGTATTGTATTGCTTACATAATCTGATCACACATTACAATACTACATAGATATGTACGGTGAAATAATTGGCTTAAACTTTGAGGGAAAGAAGAGCGGGTTTGGAACCCAACGCACCGATTAAGTTAACCACTGCAAAAATCTTCTTAATAACAGAAATGTAACTTTTTAGACCGGAAATTTAGTGGAAATTTAGATAAGATGTTGGAAAATAAAGTTTAGGTTATACCACTGCCGCGTGATTTTTTGGTTTAGCAGATGACATCGATTAAAACATTTGTGTTTATAATGATTGACACGTACAGTATTTAACAAGGTAGACTATAGAGGGTCACCTTACTGGACATATAGAATATAAAACTCAAGTAAGGTAGATCTCAAAAATGATGGCCATCAACTTCAATGCCAATATAATAACAGAGAAATGGAGTACTGTATTGGAAATTATCAATGAGGTGCAATGAAACGGAGTGGTGTGACGGACCAATTATCTGCAAAATAAGAGATACATGTGGGCCGTGGGGTCCTGCAGGACAATTGCACAGCAATGAACTGTTGTAACGATATGACGACTTTAATAATGGACAAATGCCATCCAGGAATGCAATAGGAAATACAAATACAGGCCAATGACACAAGTCAATGGAATAATCCCAATATTGCAACGGAAACATAAAATTATTTAGCAATTTAAATGATTCATAGCAATGGATAGCATTCTGCCGTACATTTCACTGCATTTATATATACAATGTACGTCATCTATCGCATTTAAATTATGTTGGTTTGTACAAAAGCTTTGTGCCACCAGATCTGCACTTTGAAAGTAGTGCTAACTGCTAAAGTGCTAAGTAGCTCTATCAAATTTTGTTAAAAACTTTGTATATCAAATGTTTCGTCCTTACTTCAAGACTTTAAATTGTCATTATTTATTCGTCGGGGGTCAGGACCCTACAATGTGCCTTGTAATATTACACACTGCAATCTCAAATTAGTATCAAGTAAACAAGTCACATGTTATTATGCTTCATCTACAGTGTTGAATGTTGAACAACCTGTGAACTGTGAAGTCTGATTGTGATATCCCGCTCCAGAATTATTCAGTAATGAAATCTTTGTTACCAGCGGTGTTGGCCTTTGGTGCACGTTGATACTATTCGGAATTTCGGATGGCTAAATCGTGTAGTTACCACACATTTCTTGTTGTTGGTCCTGTAACCATTTTAGTATCGGTGCTGTTTGTTGCGATTGAACTTTGAGTTTAACAGTTTTCTGGTCATTATTCGGACTCGAATGTTTAGTATAGGGTCGAACGTTTTGCATGAGGTAACATCGAAAAGAAGAATTACTTTTAAAAATCAGGAAAACCACATGTAAAGAACAATTTGTCTCCTTAAAAATATTCCTCGATCTTAAATTTACAAAATTGTGTGTATAACTTAAAATTCCTGCAAACTATAATTATTATAATAATATTATCTAACTATAACTATAGCTATCTAATCGTGGCTAAGGTGACTAAATTTCAATCTGTTGAGAGATCACGTTCCACTGTTCCAACTTGATGAGTTGTTCATTTGCAATTTGCATGTTTGCCAAGATTCACCCTCTTTTATTTTCATAAATCAAATATCGTAAAATATCGATAATATCGAAAGTCGCTGTTCTTAATACTTGAAATGTGTTCTTTCTGAATGTATTTTGTTTGAAAATATTTAACCTATTACGGATTTGTTACTGTGTCATCGTCTCGATCTGCACAGATCCACGACAAAGAAACCAAGTGAGGCGAGTTCATATTCTGAGAGGGAACATTCGCCTATTAGCTAAATAAGAAAGGTTTGGCTAATGATTAACAATTTACCGAACGATTTAAAGGCAGTATTCGTACATACACGCATGGAATTTTGTCGGTCTAGATATGATCCAAACTTTAAGATCAATAGCGTGAGGACCCTTAGTTAATGTCTATTGTTAAATTGTGAATTGTATTGTATGTATCATTCTTTAAGCTTGAGCGTTGATATGGCCACTAGTTAGCCACTAGTTAGTCACTAGTTAGTCAATTTGTTAGCCATAAACTCAGCAGCAACTACTCAAAGATGTTGACTGAACTTTTCTGACTTAATTCACCGCTCAAGGTTTAAAATTATTTGCTTTATTTTCGTACTTTTTCCGAGTGTTGACAATTCAGCTCTATAGGCGGGAAATAAAATGTTTACTTTGGCTGCTATCTTTGTTTTTTTAATGAAATTATTTGATCTATACGTTTTTATTACAAAACCCACTAAACTATAGCAGCCAATATAACATAATATTAAATCGTATATGATTCATTGGAGAGATTCTCATTTCATTTTTGACAAACAGGATGTTTGAGGCTCACGATTCTTGATTTTATGTAAGAGCAAATCGCTTGTAAATGTAATCAATTTTAATGGGTTTGTTTGATCCAGAGATATTTTTATCTAGATAAAAACAAACACAAAATAGGGGTTTATTAACTTAATTTAACTACAAATATGGAAACCTTCAAAATGTAAAACAGTGGATTAAAACTTAATTTATCACTTATATAGTACCTTATATATTATTGAAATGGCTAAAAACAGCGAAGTTGTGGTAGTGACAAACAGTGCAGCACTCAGAGCTGTGGATTTGGAACCAAGTAACAGTGAACCCCTGGACTCACCAGGTGCAGCAGAAGACCAAGGTAAATCTAATTGAAGGTTTCTAGTAGTTTATCTAACAATCTGCATGCTGCTCCAGAGTCCAGATAAACATTTATCTGAAGTAACCGATTTCCGGAATCATCCGAATTATGATTAATTACGGTTGTGATTGAAACGAGTAAAACAAATTATTTTTCATTTAGATAACCCAAGGAATCCTCCAGGAGATGCTAAAAAGATAACAACTTTTCAACTAACTTTGATCGTCCTATTTGCCTGTTTTGGAAATGGAACAACTTACATTTCGAGGGGTTACACGGCTGGATTTTACATTGACTTCCTTACTGAGTATGACCTGGATCTAACATTTGGTAAGGAACATTAACTAATAAGTTTAACTATAAGTTTATTTTAGCGATAGTATTTATCATATAATTTCCTAAACTTCACTCGATCCTACTAGTTAATTATTAACAATCAAAAAAGTGATGAAACACAGATAAAATGTTCTGACCGACAATTTCTTTGAACAGGTACTGTAGCGATATCAATAATGGTCATAAGCCAAGCTATCAGCCCCTGCATTTCCACTATCCTACCTGGCTTCAGAAAGATTCCACTTACAAAAAGATGTTTAATTCTCATTACGGGTAACATTTTGTGCTACTTCGTAATGGCTGCAGTAGATGTAATGGTGGAGAAGAATCCGGAAGGAGCGCTTGTGTTTACTGTTATTGGAGTTAGCAGAGCTTTACAGGGCGTTTTTGCTGGACTTTTCTTTGTGATCTTACAGGTTAGTTTTGCTCCGGTGCATTCTTTTATATCATCTAACTATCTAATTTACTCGACTGTGAATATACTCTGGGTAAAAATGGGTATATTCAAATAGCCCGGTCAACCAGAAATACAGCAGTATATGTAATATTATGCTTATAATTTACATGTTCTGAGAATTAACATATAACTTTCAGGGAGAGATTGTGGATCTGTATTTGGCTGACAACAAGGCAGTGATGGTCATAATAAGTGGAGCGATGCATCCAGCAACTATTGTAGCAGTAATTGTTGGGGCAGAACTCTACATATCGGGAGGATGGATGCTAACAGGATTCCTTATTGGTATCTTCGATATCATCCCCATCTTACTTCTTCCATTTATCGGAAAAATGGGAAAACAAATTGAAAATGGGACAGTTTCGAATCCAGTATTGTCAACTAGTACGGATTTTAGCACAAATGGAAAGAGTCTAAAAGACAAACCTAGTAGGATTCAACGACTGGCTTTCTTTGTTCCTGATGTCGCAGTTTTCCTGAACAATGTTACTTACTTCCTCCTCATTTTTTCCATCCCACCAAGAATTAAGGAGTTCAATGAAAAGTCATTGAGTACAGCTGTTTTGCTCACCACACTAATGTTGGTCTTTTCATTCTTCGCAAGCATGGTCCTTGGTTTTGTAGCAGACAGGAAAATAAGTTTTATCATGATGATAGGCAATATAGCATTTTACTTGGGAGCCATTCTATCTTTTGGATCTACGACAGAGTTTCTAGTCTTCCCGGCTTCTTTCGAAATAGGCTCTGTGCTTATCGGGTTCGGTGATGCATCTGTTTTAAACATAGCTGTTATGAGTAAATTTGGTATGTACGAAAAGTGGGGAGTGAAAACAAATGGTTTGGCTGAGCGATCTACGGCAGTTTTCAACTTCTGCTTCTGTATTTCTCAATTCGTTGGGACCGTGCTCAGTGGATTTGCTATCACTAGAGCAAGTGAAATTCCTTTAATTTGTATCGCCATTACAGTATGTTTGTTTAATACTATTGGCTTTATTTTCTGTACGATAGTAGAATAGTTATTAGAAACTTTTAATAATATGTATAATGTATCAAGAACTATTACAAATAAGCAGATTCGTTTAATGATTGCTCTTTCAATTTGATTATACACAATTTCAAGATTATTATATACAAAGAGTGACCCTCTATATTTATGAAAGATATTAAATATTTTGTTGATGTAACAGTACCAGATACACATTTTACTTGACAAACCACCTAACATTTCCTTTTTCTCACTATGTCACTGAAATTGAAAGCCTAACATTGCAAGAAAATACAAGTACAACGTACTCGAATTCAGGAAACGTTCACTGTGGCAAGCCCATAAAAAACTATACCATCAGCAATTGTTTAATAACAGACTAGAAGTAACTGGGTAAGCTATATAATACTATAATAGTAGGTATGCTACAGTGTTGTTGGTTCAGTAG